CGGGCGGGGGAGGGGGAAGCTGGAGCAGAGGGGCTGAGAAAAGACAATCAAGGAAGGAGGGGGGCCGGGGAGATGGGGCAGGGGTTGGGGGACACTCAGGTCAAGTTGGGTTTTTGTTGTTATTTATGGAACATCAGAGAACCATGCTACCCAGTACAATAGCCATGAGACACACTTCTGGGTCTCCAGAGCCACACCTGCAAGTGCTCGGCTGCAAACCAGAAGGTTGGAGGTTCAAGTCCACCCAGAGGTGCCTTGGAAGAAAGGCCCGGTGATCTACTTCAGAAAAACCAGCCACTGAAAACCCTGTGGAGCAGAGTTCTACTCTGACATGCATGGGGTCAGCACGAGTCAGAGTCGACTCCATGGCGGCTGGTTATAGCCACACCATGGTGTGTCTAGTGGCTGCCGTGTTGGACAGCACAGACGTAGAACACGTCCAACCGTGACAGAAAGTTCCATCGGGCACCTCTGCTTTAGAATGTGTGTATGCTGGCAGGAACGATCTAGAAGGGAGGGTGCAGGAGAGGGGAGGATGGCTGAAGTGGAGCTTTGAGGGCGGGGGTTGGAGGGGCTTCAAGCCTCTGCTTTGTCTCTAGAGTAGGGAGCCAGGCCACTGCGGGGAGCAGGTACAGGGGTTTGAGGGAATGATGGGTGCCTTTCCCACTTCGGGGAGCAGACTTCACAGGGGGTGCCGTGGGCTGGCCAGGCTACGCTGGGAGGATGCACTGTGTCCCCCGCCCCTGGGGTCTATGACCTCCATCTGTGACAAGGCCTGAGCCTGGGAGTGGCAGGCAGGGGGAGGGTAGGAGCAGGGTGGGAACCCGTCTGACACAGGAGGGATGCCCTGTGCAGGGTCTGGGCGCCCATCATCACCGTCCTCACCAGCCTGACACATGGAACACTGCAGGCACTCTGGGAAGAGGTGCTGTGTGGGTGAGTGTGAAGGGACAAGTGTGTGTAAGGATGTGAACAACTGAGGGAATGGATGGGGGATTAGTGAGGGAGGAAGGGAGTAGATGAATGAGTGGGGGGTGAGTGGATGAGTGAATGGGTGAATGAGTGAGTGAGTAGGTGAGTGAGCAGATGAGTGAGTTAATGTGTGGATAAGTGAGTGGATGATTAGATGAGTGAATGAATGGGTAAATGAGTGCGTGAATACATGAGTGAATGAGAGAGTGAGTGGATGAATCAGTGAGTGGATGAGTGAGTGAATGAATGAGTGAATGAATGAGCCTGAATCTTGGAGAATGGTCCATTCAGGACTTTCCAGCCTATTCCTGAAGCAGCCAGGTTCATGCCCATGCTCCTAGCAACTCCCTCCACCTGCAAGATCTGCCAGGAGGGGGCCCACCTGGGGAGGCTGGGCAGGGCTAGGGGCGGGGCCACCTGGGGAGGCTCCCTTCCTGCCCTTCCAAGGTCTGGGTCCTGCTCACCCCAGGCTCCAGGTGCACCTGAGAGCCGGAACCAGAACAGGAACTGGGCGGCCTAGGGGAGCCCCTTTGTGAAGAAGCCCTGGGTGTGGACCCCCTGCCTCCCTCACCTGGCAGGCTGGCCCAGCTGGACGGCAGAGGCTCCTGTCTCCCACGACCTCCACTTCCAGGGTACAGGGAGGCCATACTTCCCAGCACCACTCTGAGGTGCCAAGTCGGAAACACAAATACCAAGATTGTCACATGGGATGGGGGAGGCAGTGCCCATGATGGTGACAATAAAGGGCAGGGGTGGGGGGAGGGCAGGTGGGGCGGGAGAGGGAAGCCTCATGCAGTGCCTGCTGGGTCTCTGGGGCTGCCGGCACATGGTGCACACACAGCTGGAGCCGTGGTCACACACACACAGACTTGCACATACAGAGGGACACACCACACACACACCCCACATGTACACACACACACACCCAGGCAGCACTGTCACTGAGTTAAAAACCAGTTGCCATTGAGTTGACCCCGACTCATGGCAACCCCATGTGTGTCAGAGTAGAACTGTGCTCCATAGGGTTTTTCATGGCTCATTTTTTGGAAGTAGATCACCAGGCCTTTCCTCTGAGGCGTCTCTGGGTAGACTTAAAGCTGCAACCTTTCAGTGAGCAGCCAAGCGAAGTCACCATTTGTACCCAGGGACTCCATGTCACCCAGTAGGTCCCAACAAATGTGTGCTGACTGACCATATGATTAAGTAAGACTCCAGGTGGCTGCCACACAGCCCTGCCCCTCACCCCCCAACACCTGTGAAGCCTCTCCCAGACCTGGCCACCCAGACCTCGCCCACACCCCAGTAGGGCACTCCCAGCTCCTCTGCCCCGCATTCCCTTACACACGCGGCCTGGCCCTCATGCATATGGATGAGCGTGCACACGTGTACATACACGTCCAGCCTCTGGGGCCCCAGGGCCCCTCGGTCAGCCCAGCAGATGCCCAGAGCCTATGAATGCAGCTGGGAGATGCGGGGTGGCCTGGAGGCCCCCGCCCCCTCCCCGCCAGCACCTGTGATAAGGGTGCTTTAGGCCTATAATCCCTCCTTAACTTGACTTTGGGTTATTTTGAGCAAGAGATTACAGGTGATTATGATCAGCATGCTGAGGTGCCATGCTTCCTGAAGGGGTAGCTGCTCCCGGCACACCCTTCAAGGCCCAGGGACAAGGCCGCCCTCTTACCAGCCCCCAGCTCTCAGCACTCTGTACCCCGACCCCTGCCCACCTCAGCCTCAGGTGCTTAGTTAGACGTGCGTGCATGTCCAAGCAGCTGCCTGGCCGAGGGCTCTTGGTCCTGTCAGTGTCCCAGAGGCACATAAGTCACAGCATCAGCACAGGTCATGTGGGCACCGTGGCCGGATTGGGGGGTGGTTCTCGAAAGCAGCCTGCTCAGGGAGGGAGAGTGGGGAAGCTGGAGGGAGGCAGCCGCTGCCTTCGGTGCCCAGCTTGACGCTGTTTGATGGTGATGGTGGTGATGATGGTGATGGTGTTGGTGTTGGTGATGATGGTGGGGTGATGGTGGTGGTGGTGATGGGATGGTGATGGTGATGATGATGGTGGGGATAGTGATGATGATGATGATGGGGATGATGGTGGTGGTGGGGTAGTGGTGGTGATGGTGATGATGGGGATGTGGAGAAGCTCAAAGAAAGCACTGCCCAGACCCCATGAGCTCCCCATTGTGACTGTAGATTTTACATCACAAGCCAGGATGTGCAAAGACCCTTAGTAGGCTCCCTCATTTGGATATGGAGAGCCAAGCAGACCCCTGTCCTGCCCCCAGTGCCATTTCTGATCAGCCCAGAGAGGTCCAATGCATTGCTGGGTGTCACACAGCAAGTCTGGGCCAAGCCTGGTTTGCCTCTTCTGCTGTGACCCACCCCCCAATCTGATTGCTCCCCTCTCTTTAAATCAGAAATAGACTCTTCCCCAGGCATCAGATCAAAACTGCTCTTTATGACGTTTCCAAAGGAAAAACAAAATCCATTCTACATCATTTTATTTTTTTTCTGCTAATTTAAACTGCTTCAGTGCAGACTAGTTGCAAACGTCAATATCGGTGAAATACACTTGGCTGGCTGCCTGCCAGGCCACAGCGGTTACAGAGACCGGCTGTAAATTCAAATATTAACAAGCACGCTCACACCCCAGCCTCTGTCCTGCGCAAGAAATAAGGGGATAGAGGCAAGCCCTGAAGACTGGGGTCCTCCTGCCAGGCAGCGTCCACCGAAACGTGCCCCCAGGCCCCGGTCCCATGGTCCTTGTGCCTGGAGTAGTCCCGCTCGTATAGTCCAGCCACACACTCTGGGCCACAGAGATGGGAGGGCCTGTCCTGCCCTGGACAAGCTCACGGGTCTGGTGGGGAGAGAAGGGGATGGCATGGGGACTGGAAGCAGGCAGGGGTGAAGGGATGGGGTCTTTCTGGCATCCTTGGAGCCGTTCTTATCAGAGGCCAGGAGGATGCTGGGAGAAGACATGGAGACCACGGTTCTTCCTTCCAAGCCTAGCTCCCGGGCTCTACCCGTGAGGGGCAATGTCAGCCTCCAAGCCCAGGCACCAGGGTTGGAAGGCCTCCAGACCATCAGCTGACTTATTTGGGGGAAACCAAGGACCAGAGAGGGCATGACATGCCGGGGCCAAGAGCCTGGCCGTCTTGAGCCCCCAGACGGTGCCTGAGAGGGCTTGGGAGGAGGGACCCGAGCATTCTGGGAGGATTCCAGAACACTCTGGCAGGTGCTCAGAGCGCCCCCTGCAGGCTGCTTCCTGTGTGGCGGCCAGGCCTGCAAGGAGCAGAAATTCCCAACTCTTCCGGCGGCAGAGGGCACAACAGGGTTTTCTGTCTGTTATTTGGGAGTCACTGGCCAGAGGCAGCTGCCCTGCCCCTCATGGAGCATGTCCCTCTTGGCCCAGCCTCTGAACCTCAGTTTCCTTATTTGAGCAGGATTGTCTTAAGAGCGAAATGATACCCACTTTGCAGATGAGGAAACCGAGGCCCAGAGACTGAAGGCAGCCTCGAGATGGGGCTCAGTCCTGGACAGGGCTACTTACCCTTTGCTCCCCACACCCAAAATATGAAAATAGAGCAAATGTGGGCCAGGTGTCCCCTGTGCCAGGCCCTGCACAGCGTGACTGTCTCCTCATTCCTCCCCACGCACGTCTCTGGTTCACAGAAGAGGCAGAAGGGGCCAAGCTGTGACAAACCAAAGGCCACGTGTAACCACTCAGCCTGCAGGAAGGCCCTGCGAGCTCCGTGACCGTCTCTCTCTCTTGTCTTACAGAAGGAACGTCTGAGCAGGAGCCGAGTGGAGCTGCCAGGACACCCAGGCCGATGGGGAGGGCTGCCCTGGCCGCAGGGCACAGGTGGGAGGCAGGAAGCCCCCGGGCATAAGGGAAGTGCACTCACTCCCCGTGCCACCATGCGTTCTGGGACAGGACACCCCTGAGCGTGTCCCTCGGTCTCCTGGGGGCTGCCGCCGGCGCCACCCCATCTCTCTGGGAGGGTGAGCGGGCTCCCCTGCGAGGCGTCCCCATGGCCGGGGGCGCGCTGTGGGTGTGTGTGGCGGCATGCGCCCTGCTGCACGCGGGCGGGCTGGCTCGAGGGGACTGCTGGCTGATCGAGGGCGACAAAGGCTTCGTGTGGCTGGCCATCTGCAGCCAGAACCAGCCTCCATACGAGGCTATCCCGCAGCAGATAAACAACACCATCGTGGACCTGCGGCTGAACGAGAACCGCATCCGCAGTGTGCAGTACGCCTCACTCAGCCGCTTCGGTAACCTCACGTACCTCAACCTCACCAAGAACGAGATCGGCTACATTGAGGACGGTGCCTTCTCGGGCCAGTTCAACCTGCAGGTGTTACAACTGGGCTACAATCGGCTGCGCAATCTCACCGAGGGCGTTCTGCGTGGCCTGAGCAAGCTGGAGTACCTATACCTGCAGGCCAACCTCATCGAGGTGGTCACCCCCAGCGCCTTCTGGGAGTGCCCCAACATCATCAACATCGACCTGTCCATGAACCGCATCCAGCGGCTGCACAGCGCCACCTTCGCTGGCCTGGCCAAGCTCTCAGTGTGTGAGCTGTACAGCAATCCCTTCTACTGCTCCTGTGAGCTTCTAGGCTTCCTGCGCTGGCTGGCCGCCTTCACCAATGCCACACACACCTACGACCGCGTGCAGTGCGAGTCCCCGCCGCTCTACTCCGGCTACTTCCTCCTGGGCCAGGGCCGCCATGGCCACCGCAGCATTCTGGGCAAGCTACAGTCCGTGTGCACTGATGGCTCCTACGTGGCCGAGGCCAGCGGCCCCCGCCTGGGGCCCGGACGCTTGCAGCCTGGACGCTCGCCGCCGCCACCGCCACCGCCAGAGCCCAGCGACGTGGCCTGCTCCGAGGAGGAGTGCTTCTCCGGGGACGGCACCACACCGCTGGTGGCCCTGCCCACGCTGGCCACCCAGGCAGAGGCCCGGCCTCTCATCAAGGTCAAGCAGCTGACCCAGAACTCAGCCACCATTATGGTGCAGCTTCCCAGCCCATTCACACGCATGTATACCCTGGAGCAGTTCAACAACAGCAAGCCGTCCACCGTCTCTCGGCTGACCAAGGCCCAGGAGGAGATCCGCCTGACCAACCTCTACACGCTCATCAACTACACCTACTGTGTGGTGTCCACCAGCTCGGGCCTGCGCCACAACCACACCTGCCTCACCATCTGCCTGCCCAAGCCACCCAGCCCACCCGGCCCCTTGCCCAGCCCCTCTACCGCCACCCACTACATCATGACCATCCTGGGCTGCCTCTTCGGCATGGTGCTGGTGCTGGGCGCCGTCTACTACTGCCTGCGCAAGCGGCGGCGACAGGAGGAGAAGCACAAGAAGGCAGCAGCGGCAGCCGGCAGCCTAAAGAAGACCATCATCGAGCTCAAGTATGGCCCCGAGATGGAGGTGCCTGGCCTGCCGCCGCTGCCCCAGGGTCCGCTGCTGGGCCCCGAGGCCATGACCCGCATCCCCTACTTGCCAGCTGCGGCTGCGGCCAGTGAGGTAGAGCAGTACAAGCTGGTGGAGAGCAGCGAGACGCCCAAGGCCACCAAGGGAAACTACATTGAGGTGCGCACAGCGGAGCAGGCTGAGCGGCGCGACTGTGAGCTGGGCCGGCCCGGCCCTGACAGCCAGGGCTCGGTGGCCGAGATCTCCACCATCGCCAAGGAGGTGGACAAAGTCAACCAGATCATCAACAACTGCATCGATGCACTCAAGTCCGAGTCCACCTCCTTCCAGGCAGTCAAGTCTGGGGCCGTGTCTACGGCCGAACCACAGTTGGTGCTGCTGTCTGAGCCGCTGGCCGGCAAGCACAGCTTCCTGTCGCCCGTGTACAAAGACTCATTAGGGCACGGGCTGCAGCGGCACCACAGCGTGGAGGCCACCCCAGGGCCTCCGCGCACCAGCACCTCGTCTGGTGGCTCCATGCGCAGCCCACGCACCTTCCACACTGAGGCTGCTGCTGAGGCCAAGTACATCGAGAAGACGTCACCCACGGCTGACACCATCCTCACTGTGACCCCTGCCGCTGCCATCCTGCGTGCCGAGGCTGAGAAGCTCCGGCAGTATGGTGAGCACCGGCACTCGTACCCTGGCTCTCATCCTGCCGAGCCACCTGCGCCGCCACCACCGCCACCCCACGAGGGCCTGGGTGGGCGCAAAGTGTCCATCCTAGAGCCGCTGACCCGTGCGCGCGCCCGTGAGCTCGCCTACTCCCAGCTGTCCCCGCAGTACCACAACCTGAGCTACTCCTCCAGCCCCGAATACACCTGCAAGGCCTCCCAGAGCATCTGGGAGCGCTTCAGACTGAACCGCAGGAGGCACAAGGACGACGAGGAGTTCATGGCGGCTGGCCACGCCCTGCGCAAGAAGGTCCAGTTCGCCAAAGACGAGGATCTGCACGACATCCTGGACTACTGGAAGGGTGTGTCAGCCCAGCACAAGTCCTGAGCCCATACAGCCAGGCCCCGTGCCCGGCCCCTCTCCACCTGCCCCCCACCCACTCCAAAACTCGTGATGCCCATTGGACCAAAAAGGATACAAGATCCACAGCAGCTATTTGTAACCCAGAGACTCACCACAAAACCTAACACACACACACACACGCAAACACATACACACATACACACACAGACACACACACACACACAATACATAATAACTATTGTTAAAGCCCTAGCCCCTCCAGAGACAGTGGGGAGGGAGGTTGTTGACAACAACCGTGATATTGATATTCGCGGCAGTGTGCTTGTCATCTGCTCTGAGATCCTCTCACTGGTGTGAGTGGGGTGTCCGCATATACACTGTGCTCACACACACGCACACACACATACACAAGGGACTTCAGAAAACTGTGGCTTGGGAATGGGAGGTGGGGGTAGGGAATTTTTTTTTCATTTTTCCTTTTTTTGATTTTTTTGCCTGTTTTTCTTTTCCTCTCTTTATTTTCTTCCTTTTTAAAAAAAAATAATAAAAGTAAAGTTCTTTTAAACAGACATAGAAAATCAATCATGGGGGGGGCGTGGTCCCCCCTGGCATGAACTCCCAGTCTGTGGTTTTCTGTGGATTCTCTGTCCAGTCCGTCTCTTTGTCGCCGCCTCCAGAAGCCACCAAAGAGGGGCAGAGCGGAAGCGGGACGTGTCCTGGAGCCCTGCGAGACTGGAGGGAGTTGAGGCTGTCCCAGCGGCCGGCTCCAGGGGTGGCTGGGAGGGGCGCCGGGCTGGGAAGTCTGTCCGCCAGCCCAATCCACATTGTACACTGTAGTCGTTCTATTGTACAGAAAAAAATATTTCTATATTTGCAATGTTTGCTGTAAAACAAAAACAAACAAAAAAAGACTATGTCTACTGAAAAAAAAAAAAAAAATCTGCAAAGGAAAAAACCCAAATACTTTGTACTGTGTTTTTACTGTGGGCTTTAGGGAAAGAGCTGGGGTTTCTTTTATGGGTGATTTTTTTTATGCTGGCCTTGGGGTGGGGCTGGGGTTTGCAGCTGGGGCAACCACGGCGCTTTCTTCCAGAGAGAACAGGAGTGGCCATGAGGGAGGGGAGCCCTTAAGAGTCCAAGGGAGAGGCGGGCAGCCAACACAGAATTGGAGAATGTTCCAGCTTTGAAAGCGAGAGCCTGTGTGGAGAGAAATTAGGCGAGAGTGCGGCCAAGGAAGGCTGAAGCAGAAACAGGGTCTTGGGTGTTAAGTGGGCATGAGAACTGGCGTGTGAGTGCATGTGAGCTCTGGAGGTCTTAGGGGTCTGTCTGAGTGTGGCCCCCTCCTGCAGGGAAAGAATCCCTAAGACACCCCCCCCAAACACACACACTGCAGGTCCCTAGGGATACCGGAGTGCTGACCCAGCCCTCAGCCCACTGGCGGACCCTGAAGACCCCTCCTCAAGCCATCTTGTCCATCCCCCTGCCTCAGGCCGCCTGCTGTGCTGTGGCCCCAAATTCTGAGTAAGTGGTTTGATTTTATGTACACACGGCCCTAGATTATTGAAAATCTCCCAGGGAGATTCGGATCCTGACACCCAGCCCGGAGAAAGTCTCTCTCCCTGTCTTCTAAGACCACAGATTCCTCTGGTCCTGCCCTCAGGAGCCAGAGCAGTGCCTGGAGGAAGCAGACCTCATTTCCGGGTCCTTGACCCCTCCCACCAGCAGGGTGGGAGCTCAGGGACCACTCCAGGAACTGCCCCCACCCTCAGGCCTGGGTAGGGGAGGTCAATGCTCTCAGGGAAGGAGCATGCCTCGCCCGGGGCCCCTCCCTCACGCTGCTGGCCTGGGGCTGGGATGCCTGGGGCTGGGGGTACCAGGTGCCAAATATTCTGAGGCCAAAGCAGACACCATTCTCAACCGGGCTGGGCTGGGGGTGGGACGCTTCTCTCTCCTTTCTAAGGGCCCTGGTTGGTGAGCCCCTGACCCTCCTCCCTCCATCTAGAGCAAACCCATTCACAATCTGAACTTCTGACAAAGTCCCAGTAGGACACCGAGCTGGAGGCTGGAATTGGATCCCAGAGGCAGTGGGGAGCCCTGGAGGCTCTAGAGCAGGAGCTGAGTGATGGAAGTGGGCTTTCAGGATCTGATGGATCATCAAGAAAGGACTCCAGCCTCCAGCCTGGTTCAGCAGGTGGGCCAAGGAGGGAGGAAGGGGTGAGTGGGGTGGGATTAGAAGCCTCTGCCTACATGCCTTCTCTGGTGGGGAGCTCACCTTTTTTATCACTAGCTGTGTACCGCTTTAGGCTCCTTCCCTTGACTGACAGGAAACCAGTGGTTTCCCAAGGGCCCGGCTCTGACTCCCAGGCCCCCCAAGAGCTGCGGGCAGGGCTGGTGTGCCCCCTTTAGGCCGTCTGAGCTCAGGGGACATCATCAGGGTCCTGCATATCTGAGGCAGCTCAGGAGCATGTACCCCTTGTCTGAGCCCCTCCAGTATGAACCATTTCCCGAGGATGCTGCTGCCTACCCTGCGCTTCCCTGTGTGACCCATGGCCCTGGACCTGGTGTACCCCCACCTCCATCCCTGCCAGCTCCTCACCCTCCACGATGGTCCACAACAGAACCATCCAGAGGAGTTGAGGACACTGGAGTGTGCGGAAGAGGAGGCGAGACTTAGGAATGTGGGGCCAGGGAGGAGGGCCCAGAGAGGGGCTGCCTTGCCCCAGGTCACACAGCAGCTCGGTGCTGGTCTTGGTCACGGGACAGGCGGTGGCCAGGTCCCCCAGCCTGCTGTTCCTCTTCACCAAGGAGATAACATGGCTATTTATAGGGAGCCAGGGAGAGTGATGGGCACAGGAGAGAGGTGTCTGCCCAGGCAGGCAGGGCAGCTGGCCAGACAGACCAGGTGTGAGACTGTGTGACGGGGACATGTCACAGCCAGGACAGCCCAAGCAGAGCCGCAGTGGTACAGGACGTCTGGGGGAAAAACAAGGTCCTGGGGAGGGACAAGGAGACGGGCAGGGTCCTGAGCAGCTATGGATGCCCAGCCCAGAAGCTCAGACCCGCCCAGTAATATCCAAGCTTGGGGCAGAGGGAGCTCTAGTGAGCATTTATTGAGTGTCTGCTGTGTACCGGACATCGGCCAGTCCTGGGGACACAGACCCATTTGTCACTGTGTCCGTGCTTGAAGGAGGTGGAGTCAGGAAGATAAGATGCATAGAAGAAGACATACGTGTGCATTAAGCACCTACTGTGTGCAGGACTCTGAGCCAAGCATCGTGTGGGACACAGAGAGAAGTCTCACCCAGCCCCTGCCCTCAGGGAGCTCACAGGCTGGGCACAGTATGTGGAGGGAGGTGACCCAGCTCAGGGCAGCATGGGGCATGAGAGCTCCAGGGCAGGATGGGCAATCCTGGCTGGGAAGAGCCTGGAAGGCTTCCTGGAAGAGGTGGCATTTGGTCTGGATCAGGGGAAGCTGAAAGGTCAGTGGTTTGAACATGCCAGGGAGAAAAGACCTAGTGATCTGCTCACGTAAAGATTTACAGCCTGGGAAAGCCTATAGGGTAGTTCTACCTGTCACATGCGGTCGCTATGAGTCGGAATCGACTGAATGGCACATATCATCAACAACATGGTGAGGAAGCAGGGGTGGAGGCTGCAAAGGGAGCGAGGCTGGTGTCCCGTGGGCTCAGCACCAAGCTCCGAGTGAGGGATGAAGGCAGCCACGAGCCCGAGCCCTGCCCTGCAGCTGGAATCTTGCCCCACTACCCAGGGGCAGCCGTGGAGACAGCAGGATCTGGAAGCAAAAAGCAGGGATTCGGCCACTTATAACTGTGTGACCACAGGCAAGTCACTCACCCTCTCTGAGTTGGCTTCCTCATTTATCCAATGGGCTGCTGACTCCTACCTCTCTCGTCCACAGCGCGGGGTTGCTGGGAGATGCAGGCATGCAGGTGTGATGGTGGTTGTATCGGTCATCCACTGCCACAATAATGCTGTGGAACAAACAGCTACGGTACATACTTCCTGCTCACGTGTCTGGATGGTGGCTAGGCAGTCTGCTGGTCATGGCCAGCTCACCCACCAGTCAGGAGTTGGCTGGGGGTGATGGGAGGCTGGCTTTGCTCCACCTGCCTTTCATCCCCCAGCAAGCCAGCTCAGGCATGCTCAGGGCGATGACCGAGAGAGCCAGCCCTCCGGTCACATGTGCTAACATTGCATTGGCCAAGCAAGTCACACAGGGGAACTCAAAGTCAAGGAGGGAAGGCCACCCACCCACAGGGGCACATGGCAAAGGGTGTGGACACAGGAGGCCCAAAGAGCCGGGGCCGTCCACACGCAGAGGCCAAGTGCAAGACTGGGCCCATGTGTCCCTCCGTCCCCACCAGAGCAAACTACAGAGTAGGGACAGCAGAAATTTCCTGCATTCATTGATTCAACACACATTTTCAGAGCACCTACTGCATGCCTATCTTAGTTATCTAGTGCTGCTGTAACAGAAATACCACAAGTGTGTGGCTTTAATGAACAGAAATTTATTTTCTCACAGTTTAGGAGTCTAGACGTCTGAACTCAGGGCACCAGCCCTAGGGGAAGGCTTTCTCTTTCTGTTGACTCTGAGGGAAGGTCCTTGTCTCTTTTCAGCTTCTGTTCGTTGGTTCCTTTGTGATCTTCATGTGGCATCTATCTTTCCCCTATTGGTGCTTCCTTGCTTCTCTGTACCTAATCTGCTTTTCTTACAGCTCGAAAGTGACTGGTTTAAGACCTACGCTACACTGCTATGGCCTTATTAACATAAAAAGGAAAAACCCTATTCCCAAATGGGCTTACACTCACAGGTATATTGTTGTTAGGTACCATCAGGTCAATTCTGACTCATAGTGACCCCAAGTGAGAGGGTAGAACTGCCCCCATGGGGTTTCTAGGCTGTTATCTTTACAGAAGCAGATCACCAGGTCTTTCTCCCTCAGAGCCACTGAGTGGGTTCGAACCACCAACCTTTCAGTCAGCAGCCATGTGATTAATCA